TTCATGGGAGGCACCCCATGTTATCTTTTATTTCTTTCATATTTATTGCTTTCTAGTTTAATTTTATTGCTTTCTAGATTCATTTTATTTAGTTTTATTAATTTCTAGTTCGTGATTATTTTATTGCTTTTTAGTTTTCTCTTTTCTCTTGTTCTACTTTTCTTTTGCATCAGGGACGATGCAAAGTTTTAAGTGTGAGGGGGAGGAATCATTAATTTGGTGATATTTCTGGGGATATTTCTAAATTTTTAAAATTTTTGCTTTTGTTTGGATGACTCATATGCTATTTTTGGTGAATAAGTTACTTGTCTTAGCATGCAGTTACAATTATTCTCTCTTGTTGGTTTGTGGTTTGTTTTAGTGGTGCTTGCTGCATCTCAATTTGTGATGGATGATTTGAGGTGTAACACATATTTGATCTATTCCCTTGCCAATAGCTTTGTTAACCACTTAATAATTGGATTAATCCTTGATCTTGTGTTTTGCATTGCTAGTGAAGGCTTATGTGAGATTCCGGTCATGGGTGTTTTTGCTAGAACTTGCCTCATTACTCCCTAAGTGATGTCTAAGTTTTGCATGTTTTGAAGTGATTTAGGCCATTATTGTTTAGCCATAGCCTTTAAACCTGTCCCTATATATATATTTTTATCCTTCGTTTCCCCATTGTGCCTTTTGTTTGTTCAAATAAGTGCTAAGCACTTATCCCCTCTTTGTGATTGTTTTTCTTTGATTTACCCCATTATTATAACCCTTAGCCCTTGGCCAAATATTTCCCATCCACCCTTGAGAGAATGAAACTTTTATTTTATCGTTTCTGTAAGAAGAGTTTTTATGGAGTTGTGCTACAAAAAAGAAGCAGCTAGTGTTACAAATGTTCAAGTGTGGAGGTCATGAAAGTTTGGATTAAAATTATCTTGCTATATCCAAAAGAAGTCCAAAGGCAAAGAAAAGAATGAAAAAAAAAAAAAAAATTCAAAGTTTTTGAGTTTGGATCCCCACTTTACCAAAGAGTTGCTAAGTTCTTAAAAGAAATTTGCTCCTTGGAATTATGATTATCTCATCTCTTCCAAATTTTGAAAAGTTTAGATAAATTGTGACATTCTCTCTTTTTGATTAATTTTTCCATACCACTTCTTTGTTAGCCATCACCCGTAGCCCCATTACAAGCTAAATAATGTCATATTTGATCTTAGCATGCATTCTTAGATTTGATCTAGGGGAGTATGAAAGGCAAGCCTAAGGGATCTCATTCATGAACCGTATCTTGCATAATCTCAACTGAGTATTTGTGCACATTGTATCCTCACATGCATTAAATTCTTGGTGCTTGGTTATTTGCTTGGAAATGGGTCTCTTATGTGCCAAACTAATTTGATTCTTGAAGCTTGTTGTTTTGTAGCAAGTGGGTTGGTGGTTTGAAAGGTTGTGCAAGAGAGAGCATGAGTAATTTGTATGTTTTGATTTGTGATTTTATTCCTTAGTTTTGCTTGAGGACAAGCAAAAGCTTAAGTGTGAGGGGGTGATGTTAGCACATCTGTTCTTGTTTTTATGGTTATTTTGAATCATCACAGTAATTAAGCTCTTTCATTTTGCTTATTTTGGCTCGACGCGTCGAGTCCTCTGGGTCTCGAACTTGTCCAAAATTGCTCCAAACTCATCCTTGAACTTCCCTTGCTCATAGAATTGACCTACAATGGTTCAAAAACACTAACAAACACCGTAAAACATTCAAAACAAGTGCGAACCATAATTAAATGATAATAGCAAGGAAAACATGTATTAAATAAGCAAAATGAAAGAGCTTAATTACTGTGATGATTCAAAATAACCATAAAAACAAGAACAGAAAGGTTTATGATCGGGCGCAGCAGGTCTCGACGCGTCGAGAATTTGCTCGACGCGTCGGGCGCAGCAGGTCTCGACGCGTGGAGAATTGGCTCGACGCGTCGGGCGCAGCACGAAGTTGCGAGATATTTGAGTCCAATTTTGTACCAGATTCCTATTTCGTCTCAACTTTATACCTACTATAAAATCCCTCCTTCCTCAACCCTAAAAAAAAACACACCGAGAGATTTTTAGAGTTCTTTGTAGACAAGAAAGAGAGAAATCAAGAGGCTCAAGTCGTCTTTGGAAGCAAGGAGGAAGCCAGGGAGATTTGGGAGAATCGCTTGGTTAATTCTTGTACTCTTCTGATGATTTGTAATCCTTTATTCATATTTGCTATGTATAATTTAGCCATGCTCGGCTAAATTCCTTAGGGATTTTTGGGTGAATTTGTCTATGAACCTATGTGCCTAGTTCGTTAATTTCTTAATATATTTATGTTTGGTTTTATGATTTGTGTTGCAATCTTGTTTTAATCTATTGTTGTTGGTGGTTAAAGGCCTAAATTTCTAGCTTCACTGTCATGTTTATGTCACCAATGGGAGTTGGGGCATAAATTAGGGCACACACGATTGCACCTAATGGTTGGTCCTTGGGAAAGGGGAACTTATTAGGGGAAGTTTATTCTAGATTATTGCTCATCGGGAGATGGTAGTAATTAGGAATAATTGAATGCTGATCTTTGATCTTATTGGGTGTTTAAGCCATGGGAGTGGAAATTCACTAGGAATAGAGATTACGGGAGTAATTCGATTCCACCTTGCATTCCCATACAAATCTTAATTCCAAACCAAATATTACAAATGTTAATTGGCACTAGGTGATTAAACATTGTGATGCCAAGAATCCTATTTTGCTCTATTGTCTACAAAACCTTGCTACTTATTTTATTCTGCTTGTTATTTTATGCAATCAATCAACCTTCAAGTTTTGTTCGGACTAGTTTCATATGAGTAACCTAGTAGCTAGTGATTAGTACACCACCTCTCTGTGGTTCGACAACCCGAATACTCCGGGTATTATTTGTTTGCCCCAAATTACAGCAATCAAGTTCCGCAACATCATATACAGTGAATTAAATTTTGAAACAATTCAATTCAATTTCAACCGTGTTTGAAACTTATTTTGTACTCATTCCGTCCCATTTTATATGTCTGCTGAGATAATAAGGGAGTCGTGAAATTCGAAGAGCGATTCTACCGGAGCGTAGAAGTCGGGGGGAAAGTAATGCAGAGTCGTGAAACCCGAAGCAGCAGTGTTGGTGGCATTGGGCGTGATTAGTGCGGGCTTGGTGATCAAAGCACTAGATCACGGAATTCAATGTATCTAGGAACCAAGTAGTGGTGGATATAGTGAATTGCTCTTGGAGATAAGAGCAAGTGGAGTATGAGGATTACACCACCTCCGTACCACTATAATTGTCTTGTGTTCTTTACTGCTTTCTTTACTTACTGTTTCTTGCTTGCTTCTCACGTTGGATATACTTGACACAATCACACAACACTTACTTTATTTATTTCTGCTGTGCTCTAGACTCTATCAATCTAGTTAAGAGTTTTGATTTCTCTGTGCCTTAGCAATTGTTGTATTTTGGCTAAAAGGTTTAAAATTATATTGACACCCCCCCCCCCCCCTCTCTCTCTCTAGACTTTTACCTTACCTATTTTGGGACCAACAAGGCCAATTCCGAAAATTGAGGTTGTCCCACTCTCGTGATGCTACCAAACCCCCTCAAGAAGCATGAGTAGTCTGGACCTTCAACATTACATACTGTATGCTGTAAATGAACCTGAAGGTTGTGAGTTATAATCTAAAGAATAATGACGGTTGAGGGGCGAATCAAGGGGTGTGATAACCTGTGGATTCATAAGGTAGTGCACAAACCCATTAACCCTATGTTGGGTTTCAACCCTTGAATGAAATAAATATCATATATCAAATAAGCATCAAAACAAAATAAACACCACTATCCAACCACCTACTCTACTCACTCATAATAATGTAATATAAAGGTGAAACACAAGAACATTCATTAACAGCATAATCCAACAATATATTAAGCAAATGACAATGAGAATAACTTTAATGGACTGGAAACCAACAAGATAAAGTAAATAACACAATAATAATCCAAAATATTCAACAGTAACAAAGCTAGAACAATAGAATGGCTAAAGAAGATAAAAGAAATACCCTAATATGCAATTATTTCCGTGCTAATGCAGTCCTCCACGACGACTTTCTCTTGCCAAAAGGAAAAAAAAAAGATATATTTATAGCACTTGTCCAGGGTTTCGGTGCACGGGTGCCACATGGGCGTGTCAATGCTTGTGCGATTATCTATTTATATCAGTTGTCTAGGATTCCGACGCACGTGTGGCGCACTGATGATAAGTGCATAGTTGTTCATATTTATACCCCATACTTTGCCTTTATTTTGCTTGTGAAGTGTTATAATGGCGTTCAAAATGATCCTCATTTTATTCAGTTGGTCAATTAGGCACACTTCATCGTCTTTGAATAGAAGTGTGTCAAATTGAGCATTTTGGACACATTATCTATTTTGAGCGTACAATATATCAACTTCTTCATTTCACTATGAATAATGTGAATCCACTTTGGCCCAACCCAAATCATAATTGAACCCCACACATATTTGTACCACAAAATAGCCATTTACAATGTCATTTTATGCTAAAAGTTTCAACATGTTTTTGGAGAGTTCCTTGTCACGACAAAAGTTGGGCAAAGAACTTAGTCGCTCCTTTCACAACCCAATTTCTCTCTCACTATGAAAGTTGGAGAAAGAATGGGGGGGGGGGTTAATGCTTTATGAGCTTGATGCATCACAACAGTGGGGAAATCCTCGTGCATGGGGTTGATCCATCATGGTTATTTTTGCTCCCAAACCCATAGGTATTGTAGCATCTAGATTGTGATATTTCCTAAATTGAGCTGTATCTTTCCTTATTGTGATTACTCGTATCTTTAGGATGTTGATTTGCCCATAATTTCTCTTGAATGTTCTTGGATTTTTATGGTTCAAGGCTTTAGTGTCTAGAAGTTTAATAGTTACACAAGTATGTGCCATACGACTTATGTCTTGCTGAACAACTCTTAACCCATAATCTTTAACCACTATTTTTTGTAAGGATGAAAAATTGGCGTCGTTGCCGGATATTGGTTTATTTGGTGGTATTGTGTGATTACTTTTCATTAAAGCATTAGAGCTAGCGTACCTTAAGGATATCAAACTTTTACTTTCGTTTTGTTTTGTTGTGTTATCACTATGAACTTATAATTTAATTTGCTCTGAAGAAGTATGGTGGTAATTGGAACAAGCAAAAAAATTTGTTTTTGATCATCCTTAGGACTGGGGGTTCGGTTTCTAGAGAAGATCTAGACACAATGTTGTGGGCACGAGAATATTAGTTGTTAGATATTTTAGAATAAATTTTATTATTTAATTAGGATGATTATCTTAAATTTATTGTTGATTTAGTTTGTTAGATTTATATTATTATTCATGTTTATTTTGGTTTGTTTGTTAGGATTAGTTTATCTTATTTTTAATAATTATCTCATTTATGTGGTTGTAATATGTTTGCTAATGGCTATTTAACGTCATTGCAAGCCAAATGAACTAAATAGAGTTGAGAATTTTTGAAATAGGAAACTAAGTGTTTTCTAGAACTCGAGAGAGTTCAACCATGATCAAGTCATGGTGATCCTGACTTATCAAGTGTGAAATCTCACATGTGGCGTCGTCTTAAATCCTACGTATCACCTTATAACCCGGTGTGGCCGAGGAATTATCAAAACCCAAAAATTAGCCCCTTTCCCAACCTAAATTAAACCTTTTAATCAGATTTCACCTAGCCTAATAAATTGTTCTAAAATATTATTTTAGTCAAAGTATGAAGAGAAGATCGGGCCAACCAGGATCGCATCACACAACCTCTAAACAATTTATAGAAGCTATGCAAGTGATAACAATAGTGAACCAAGTTAAACAAAAGAATGCAAATAGCGGAGTTAAAGTAATAATAAAAAGCTAGGGATTGGACTGGTGTTATTGGGTTGATGCCATGAATCAAAAGATTGAGGGTTAGAAACTTCACAATTGAGTTCAATGCTACTACACAAAATTGGTTGACTTAATAGTTCGTTATGTTGTGAGTATTTAGTTATTATTGACTATAATAGTTTCGTTTTAGTTTTAAATGTTTTTTTTTTTTTTTGTATAAGTGGAGTTCAAGATATGATAACTTGAAAACGATATAAAAGTGATAGTTATAGTAAGTGGTTGCAAGATGTTTGATTGGTAGGATCAATTGTGGCAACAAAAGCATACGTGTGCACAAAATATGACAAAATTAATAGTTGGCGACTAAATGTGAAAAATGAATAATAGTCAAAGAATCAAAAGTGACAATAGCTCAATTTTTTTTTATTACAATTCTTTATACATATATTATTATATTAAGTATACACATATGAAGTTACCTATAATAATATAATTTTATTTTTTAAATATATTTCAAAAACATTTTGTAAACAAAATTCATTAAAATCAAATATATACACTAATTTTTAAAAATTTAAAAAAATCAGTACTATCAGTATATTACTAAAAAAAAATTCTAATTCTTTCTAAAAATATAAACAATGCAGCATCCTAGACTCCTAGTTAACTAAATTGACTAGATTCTAATGTTGAAGCTTAGCAATATAATGCAAAATGCCTCAAACGTGAATTCATTGTTTCTTTGCAGTTTGACGTTTATCCGAATTATCCATAATTGTAAAAATGTTAGTATATTCTTAGCATAATATTCCTAAAATATATTTCCTAACAATTTCTAAAAATTAAAACTACATAAAAAATATTTCACAATACTTCATAATTATTTCACAATATTTCATAAAATTATATAAACAATATTTCACAATATTTCATAAAACAAAATAAACAATATTTTATAAAATTTAAAATATATAAAAAACTAATTAAATAATAAAAATAAAAATAAATAAATGAATAAAAATATATATATATATATATATATATATATATATATATATATATATATATATATATATATAGTTCGTACCAGTGATGAGAGCGAACGGTCCGGCGGAGTCCGTGGGGAGAGCAGGGCGGCGGCGGCGTCCCGATCTGTGGCGGCGAGGCGAACGGTGCGGTGAAGATGAAGATCTGGTGCGGTGGCTAAAGATCTGTGGAGGAGGCGCGGCTGAAGATGAAGATCTGGTGCGGTGAAGATGAAGATGAAGATGTGGTGCGGTGGGTGAAGATCTGTAGCGGCGAGACACGAGCCCTGTCGGAGGAGGTGGTGCGGTGAAGATGAAGATGAAGATGTGGTGCGGCGGGGCGAAGGCGGTGGCGCGGCGTGGCGGTGTAGCGGTGAGGCGCGGCTGAAATGGGTGTATAAGAAATGCGCGGTGAAGATGAAGATGAAGATGCGGTGTGAATAGTTAGTAACGAACATACGGCGTCGGCTTTTTGAAATAGCCGACGCCGTACATTAATTATTTATTTTTATTTTTTTTATATAAAGTATATACGGCATCGGCTTTTTAAAACACCGACGCCGTAAGTTAATTATTTATTTATTTATTATAATAAGTATATACGGCGTCGCCTATTTAAAAAGCCAACGCTGTAAATAATTTTTTTTTTTAATATTGAGTATACGGCGTCGGCTAAGTAACTAGCCGATGCCGTATGTATTATAAATACATTTTGTTTTTTTTTATTTAAATAGAATACGGCGTCGGCCAATTAACTAGCCGATGCCGTATCTTATTTTAATTCCTTTTTTTTTATTTAACTGGCATACGACGTCTCTAATTAATTAGCTGACGTCGTAAGTTATTTAAATTTTATTTATTTATTTTTTAATTAGATTACGACGTCGGCCAATAATGTCGGCCGACGTCGTAACTATTTTATTTTATTTTTTTTAAATTTCAAATATATATGACGTCGGTTATATTTAATGTCGGATTTTATAAAATCCGACGTTAAAATGGTGACGTTAAAACCATTTTCTGTACTAGTGGTTTATGTGTAATTCTTGATGATTTAGATGAATTGAGTGATTTTTTGGGCATTTCGGATGCCTGCAGAGCCAATGGGAGTCAATGAGAAGCTATGAAGGTGGGAGAAACACATTTTAGAGAGACAAATTATGGCCAAATCATCCACTGTTCAGTATTTTGGCCATATCTCTACGTAGAAATGTCCAAATCAAGTGAATTTTATATTATTGGAATGCTAACTTGAAGGGCTACAAATTTTATTCAAGAACAAAAGGCTAATTCAAACATTTCGATGGTGAAAATGGCTTAGAAGACGGACACAGTGCACATAATCTCAGCTGTGGCAACCAGGCAGTGTACACTGCGTGGTGGCCACGGGTGTGGCCATACCCATGGCCACTGGGCAGTGTACCCTGCGTTTCTAGCCACGGGATTGGCCACACCCGTGGCCATGCCCATGGCTAGCCTTCTTTGCTTGTATTTAGCCCTGTTTTTAACCATTTTAACATGGCTCCAACCCATTTTAGAAACCTAGCTTCTCTCTTTCATTTTCTTTGATATTTTTAGGTTAGATTAGACTTATATTTAGGTTCTTAAACATTTTGGAAGCTTGGATTGAAGCATTTAATCTTGGATTTCAAAGATTTCATGTCCATTTTCTATAGATAAGTTCTACCTCTTTTATTTCTATTTTCACTTTGCTATTTAATTTCTTGCTTTATTGCTTTAATCTTTATCTTGTGTTTGCTTTGGAATTCCTTGTGGATTATGAATCTTGTGTTATTTTTATTATGTTTGTGTGATTAGTTCTCCTTGGAGGGAGGTAGGGATGTAGGTTAGGTGTTTATTGGTTGACCTTGAATTGGTTGAGAACGAATGTTGATGCTTACCTTTATGTTGTTGATTGACTTGTTTATTTGAGTCTCGATTAGGGAGTGACAACCTAGTCTAAGTTTAAGGAGTTGATCAACCATGCTTCACCTTTGAGAAAAGGGGAGTGTGTGATGTTAAGAACACCAAGTGTTTGATGAAATGCCTCTTAGACATTCTTGAGTCATGAGAATGTCCTTGAATGTTCTAGGAGTGTGGGATGACCTTGAGAAAGGCTTCCCTATCGTTATATGACATCTATCATCTTTTAGCCCCCAATTTGGTTTCGCTATCTTGACCTACCTTTAGTTCCTATTTACCTCCACTTTCTTATCATTTGTTTTCATTGTAGTGTGTTGTTTAATATTGTATTTGTATCCAAATCAACCCTTCGGGTTGGCTAGATTTCCATGGGGAACATTAGTATCTTATGCTTGGAACACTAAAGCTCTACTCCTATCGCCAATCCTTGTGAGAACGATATCCGGTGTAAGGATACCCTCTTACACATCCACTCACCCAAAAGACTACTTCATCAACTTCTCTAGTGGATTCTAAATAGAAGAGCTTGGGATTAATTTGGGATTTCTTGGCTCCATTTTATATCATCAGTAAATTATTATACGGATTTTCTTATCCTATTTCAAATTTGTATTTTTTGAAAATTTTGATGATAGAGTATCTGTTGAGGCACAATGAAAGTAGTGATGATTTGCAAAATCGAGATATATATATCAATAAGAATAAAAGGTAAATTTGATAAGTATTGGAGTGAGTACAGTGTATGTATGTTATTATTGCCGTTGCTTATGTGTTTTTATCCAATGATGAAATTTGATATGATTAAGTTTTGCTACTCAAAGTTTGATTTTGTGGTTTGGAAAACAAGTTGGATATAATAAAGAAGAAGATGTATGAACTTTTTTCTAACTATGAGACAACTTCAAGTTCAATTCCAACTCCAAGTATGTCAATGCGTACATCTTATATATTCAACTGTTCAAGTAAGTGGTTCCCAAGCACCACAAATTAATTTGGTGTAAGTATTCTGCATTAATAAATTTAGTTTAAATGTTATTAAATATGTTTTTAGAGTTTTAATTTTGATTTGTGCAATTGTGCATGAGTATTTTGATTTTTCTAGTGAAATGTCGATGATGATGATGTTCGAAAGTCTGAGTTAGATATATCTAGAACAAGGAGAAGTTAGGGCCTAAGTATTATGTGAGCATGCGTGGGTGTTTTACAATATTTGATAGAGTAACAAGCAAGATTTAATTGTGTCATTTGTAGTTTTGTACTTAACTACCTGAGGTCATATTCCTACTTAATTGTGACGGTCCTGCTCATATGCATGGATCGGTTTTAATTTAGACGGGTTTGACAGCTCTACCTTGAACTTAGCTCATATTATTAGTGAGTCATCCTTTGTTAGCAAGGAGTGGTTATTGTTGGGGTTGTAATAAGCTAGCTAGTTGTCTATCACTTTCATATATATGAATTTTTCCCTCTCTTTTGTTCAATTGTATCAAAATAATAAAACCTCGAACCTCTAATGAATTCCAGTTTCTCATCTTCTGTCTCATTAATGAATTCACTTTCACTGATTGCAGAGAAACATGTATAGCTAAAAATTACAAATTAATTAATTACCAAAGAATTTGAATTCATTATATATAAAAAAAGAATTTTGGTACATCATATCTATCATTCATAATTAATGTTGCTTCAATAATTCTCTGTACGTATAGTGGATTAAAATTTGAAACAATTCAATGCTTCATAACTAAATTTGATAACTTTAAAACTGAATCACTAAAATTATATTATTGGAAATTTAAGCCAATTTGGAGTTCAACTCAATTTCATTGCATTATGATGTGTTTTTATTTATTTATTTATTATTATTATTATTATTATTATTAAAATTATTATTATTATTATTATTATTATTATTATTATTATTATTATTATTATTATTATTATTATTATTATTATTGCTCAATAGATTTGAATACACATCATATCCCATGTGTTAGTGAAAGGTTCAATTAAATCCTTTATCTAATCTAAAAACATAATAAGTGTGAATGAAGATTATACCCTTCATTTATGTCCATTTTTTCCATTATATTATTTTATACATTATGCTATAAATGTTGTACTTTATAATATTTTAGACAAATATACCCTCACCGTTATAACTTCCGTTATCTTTTCCAATATTGTTACTATGCACATGCATCCACCATATATTTTCTTATCTTCTTCAATAATAATAATATTTATACATTATAATTTGGAGTTATTTTATACAATATAAATATCAAATGTATAAAAATGTTTACATCATCATCATCATCATCATCATCATCATCATCATCATCATCATCATCATTATTATTATTATTATAATAATAATAATAATTATTATTATTATTATTATTATTATTAATTTAAATATAAAAAAATTAATATAAAATAATAATATTGGGCATCTAATTTTTGCGCATCGCGCATAAGAAAATACTAGTTATATAATAAAGCTATATGGTTTGGGAAATAATTAATGTTACAATTAATGCCACAACATCCTTTATTATTAAAAAAAAAAAGCACAACATTTAAAAAATAAAATAGCTATATATATATTATATAATCATATAAAAAATATACTTTTGAAAAATAAAATAGCTATATATTATATAATCATATAAAAAATGTGTTCAATTAGAATTTAAATTTACACATACAAAATTTGAAATTTGCTTTCCAAATGTAATTATCTTAGTTATTATTCGTATTGTGAAAATTATAATATAGATGAAATACAATTAAGCATAAATCAATGTAATTATGTAAATTCTCTCTATAAGTTTATTTGAATATGCACATAATTAGAGATTATATTACCCATACAAAATTATAATTTTAATATTAATTTTAATTTTAATTGTAATTGTAATTTTGTATTCTATAAAAATAATAAATACTTGACCAATGGAAGCTCAAAAATATTATTATATTAAATAATTTAAAATATTTTAGTTTTTCTATTTTTATTTATATATATAATAACATAATTTTTTCCCGTGCATCGCGCGGGTGAATTACTAGTAAAATTATATAATACAAAACCTTCTCAAGTAGTTTTTTTTTTTTTTTTTAATGCTACTGGCCCTATTACATTTTAGTATCTGTTCATATACTTTCTCAACCTATTGAAACCCAAAGAGCCAATAACGCCTCTACTGAGGCACGAACTCACAACCTTCCAAATGGAAGTTGCCTTCTCAAGTAGTTATAAAATTTTCTAGATCTAGCCAAATAATTCTTTTTCGAAATAATCCAAAAAAACTATTATTTACTTGCATCTTGCGGACATTATTAGTTATTAGTTCAAAAGTTTTAAATTACGATATCACATTGTCCAATCAATCAAGGAAAATGTGAACTTTAATTCTCCAATCACTCTAGAAAAATAATTTAATATTTACAAACTTTAATCCAGTGGAAAAAAAACTTATCTAAAGAAAAAAGAGTGCAACCATATAAAGAACATAATCTTCAAGATTTCAAGGGTCTTCAGGATTATCCATTCAAGTGCACCTGCATTAGTTGCCTCAAGCTAGCTAGCTATATATTTATGCAAGCTATGTACGTGATATATATTTCTTTAATTTGGGTGTAGAGTACTTCCCTGGAAACGATAATTAAGCAGAGAGATGGGTCGGAAATTAATTATTGGTTCAAGTTCAACATAGTTGGGCGGCTCACTTACTTCACTGCACTCCTTTCCTTTATTTAATTTGCATTGTCACAGCACGTGTGAAATTCAGATTAGATATAACATATATATTTATATTTATTTAGGCACACTTACTTGACTACATACTGCACCCATTTAATTTTTTTAGGCTTTAGTTACGTTGTGGCAGCACGAGTGAAATTCAGCAGGTTGTACAAGCTAAGTGCCACACTAGTACTCCATTAAATATTCAATTCAATGCTACCTCAGCACGCCCGCTTTGTTGAATCATCTTAACCTTAAATTTAAAATATTACTTAGTTTACGTACGTATTCAATTTTACGTTCAATGTTAACCATTCATATACAGTGGATTAAAATTTGAAACAATTTCAATGCTTCAAGGAAAATGTGAACTTTAATTCTCCAATCACTCTAGGAAAATAATTTAATATTTACAATTTTTTTGTAAATTATATTTGGCCTTAGCTTCTATTCCCCAATCTATCGGGATGGTTGTATGGTAACCGCAACAATTGTATGCAAAAGTAATAAGACATACGGAATAGATCGAGTAGTAGAGAAAATTGAGAACACAAGATGTAAGAACTCATCAACATTTCTCTCTTATTGATCATAGCAATACACACACACACACACAAAATATAGATATTCGTTCACTAACAAACATTAATAGAGATGATGAAGGGATAATCATATAATGGCCACCAATTATGTATATTTGGTACACTGTGCCTTGGCCATTATTTAAGCACACACATGCCTCGTTAAAACCCTCAGTAGAAAAACTCAGTGGAAAAAGCTAGCCTAGACGAACTGAGGAAAAGAGTACACAAAATATGTTAAACCATGTGTTGCACATGTTGCCTCAATAAAAACCTTAGCTTAAGAAAATCCAGTGGAAAAAAACTTATCTAAGGAAAAAAGAGTGCAACCATATGAAGAGCGTAATCTTCAAGATTTCAAGGGTCTTCAGTATTATCCATGCAAGTGCACCTGCATCGGTTGCCTCAAGTAAAACATTAGCCTAAGAAGATCTAATGGGAAAAAATAAATTATCTAAGGGAAAAATAGTACAACCATATGTTTTCAGAGCATAGTCTTCAGGATTTCAAGAGTCTTCTGCATAGTCCATTCCAGTGCAACTAGGGGTTGTCGCTCCTCCAAAAGACAACAATCTTCCAAGCCTACGCATCCCAATTTTATGAACATATCTGTTAGATTGTTGATTAGGGCGAACTTTCTCAAGAAGAATTTTACCAGCACTCTTTTAAAGTTCATGTGGGTAAGAGAACTTTGGTGCAATACGTTTTGTAATGTTCCCCTTAAAAAACCCACTACTTGCATGTGCATATCAATCATTATTTTCCCTCATATAGGACATTTGTGGGAGGGGGGGGGGGGGGGGGGCGGGGGGGGGGGAGTAATTCAAGGCATAACCAATTTGGAACATAGCATTATAGGGATCAAACAATATAGCTAGTGTCAAAGCTAAGTAGCCCACCACAAACCATATATAGGTTTCTTACATCAAATATGCCAATGTCTTTTACACGTCAAAGATATCAGAGAATATGTTCATCATTTTTTTAATGTTTCATCATAAAAGAAGCACCAAATGTTGCTAGGATTTCTATCGCAAATGCCATATTAGGCCTGACGCAACTATAGAACTCCTAGTCTTACAATAGTATTCCAATGGAAATGAAGTAATAGACTTTTAGTCCCAAAATATGAACTTCTAGTCTTACAATAGTGCAAATGAAGTAATGGACTTCTAGTCCCAAAATATGAGCCCCTTACTCTCTCAATCCAAAGTGGTTCTATCGACCTCAAGAGATTGGGAAACCATTAGTGTGATAAGTAAATTATACTTATCCATAGATATAAAAACATCTCTAAGGTGTTTTCAAGGTAGGCTAACTGATGTATAAAATTCCTTCAGGGAAATACTCGATCTACAAGACGATACAATACTTGGTTTTCCAAGTCTTTCATTTCAAACTCTGTCATTTAGGCATGAGTTGACATCATCATGCTCATTATGTACATCAATAATTTCCAGACCATCAACATAAACTAAGATAATGAATAAATCCATTATGTTCTTCAAGCTCTAAAGATAGAACTGAAACCATTGCCAGATCATTTAAAGTATGCATTCTTAAGGGATGAAAAGACTCTTCCTGTGCTAATCTCCAAAAAATTATCTACATTGGAAGAAGAAAAATTGGTCCGAGTGCTTAGGGAATATGAGCAAGCTATAGGTTGGACTATAGCTGACATTAAGGGATTGAGCCCTTCTACTTGTATGCACCGAATATTGTTGGAAGATGAGTGTAAGCCCTCTAAACAGGCCCAACGCCGATTGAACCCACCCATGATGGAAGTGGTTAAAAAAGAAATATTGAAACTTCTTGATGCAGGTATAATATATCCAATCTCAGATAGCAAGTGGGTAAGTCCTGTGCACGTTGTCCCAAAGAAAATAGGTATAACAGTGATAGAAAATGATAATGGTAAGTTGGTGCCCACTCGTATTCAAAATGGGTGGCGAATGTGTGTAGATTACAGAAAATTAAATGCATCAACTCGAAAAGATCATTTTCCACTTCCTTTTATTGATCAAATGCTTGAACGTTTAGCAGGTCGTTCCCATTATTGTTGCCTAGATGGTTTTTTAGGTTTTCATCATATTCCATTTGCACCTGGGAACCAAGAAAAAACGACCTTCACCTGCCCATTTAGCACCTTTGCATTCCGGTGGATGCCCTTTGGTCTTTGCAATGCTCCTGCTACATTTCAAAGGTGTATGGTCAGTATCTTTTCAGATTTTGTAGAGATTTTTATAGAGGTATACTTTATAGTCTATGGTGATTCTTTTGATGCCTGTTTATCTAACCTCACAAAAGTACTTGAACGATGCATTGAAAAAAACCTTATTTTAAATTTTGAAAAATGTCACTTCATGGTTGATCAGGGTATTATTTTGGGTCATGTGGTATCTTCTGAAGGGATTGAAGTGGATAGAGCTAAGGTAGAAGTTATTAAATCTTTGCCTTACCCTGCTAGTGTGCGGGAGGTTCGTTCTTTTCTTGGTCATGCAGGTTTCTACAGGAGATTTATGAAGGATTTTTCAAAGATTAGAAATCCATTGTGTCGATTGTTGTAAAAAGATGTGGAATTTGAGTTCGATGAAGCATGCAAAGATTCTTTTGATACGCTAAAAGATATGGTAACATCTGCACCAATAATTCAGCCACCGAATTGGGATCTTCCATTCGAACTTATGTGTGATGCCAGCAATCATGCAGTTGGCACTGTACTAGGCCAAAAATTTGGAAGAGCTTCACATGTTATTTATTATGCTTCAAGAACACTTGATAGTGCACAAAGCAATTATACCACAACAGAAAAAGAACTTTTAGCTATTGTATTTGCTTTAAAAAAATTTCATTCATATATTTGCTTGGTACTGAAGTGATTGTTTATTCTGACCATGCAGCTCTTAAGTACTTGCTTTCAAAGAAAGAAGCTAAGCCCAGACTCATTCGGTGGATGCTCTTACTACATGAGTTTAACCTGGAGATACGAGATAAAAAGGGTGCAAAAAATTTAGTTGCTGATCATCTTAGTAGGATAATTACAAGTGAAAAACTTTCGCCATTGCAAGATGATTTTCCTGATGAACATCTTTTTTCTGTTCAAAAGTTGATTCCCTGGTATGCTGATATTGTGAATTACTTAGTTACTTGAACATTACCAGTTGATTTATCTAAATCTCAAAAAGATAAAATAAAGAGTGATGCTAAGTACTATGTTTGGGATGACCCTTATTTGTGGAAGCATTGTTCTGATCAAATAATCCGAAGGTGCGTATCTCAAGAAGAAATTCCTTCCATTTTGAATTTTTGTCATTCATATGCATGTGGAGGACATTTTGGTCCAAAAAGAACTGCTCGTAAAGTGTTGGAATGTGGTTTATTTTGGCCATCTTTATTTCGTGATTGTTATATGTGCGCAATGTCAAAAAAACTGGAAATTTGGGTTATAGGGATCAAATGCCGCTTACTCCTATTCTTGTTTGTGAAATATTTGACGTTTGGGGTATTGATTTCATGGGTCCTTTTCCTTCTTCTTACAATAATGTTTACATTATTCTTGCTGTGGATTATGTGTCAAAGTGGGTTGAAGCTAAAGCTACCCGGACTGATTGTGCTAAAGTTGTTGTTGAGTTCGTTAAATCTAATATTTTTACCAGGTTTGGGATGCCAAGAGCAATAATAAGCGATCGTGGAACTCATTTTTGCAACAGAGTGGTGGAAGCATTGATGAAAAAATATGATGCTACTCACCGTGTTTCTACAGGTTACCATCCACAAAGCAATGGACAGGCAGAAATCTCAAACAAAGAAATTAAGTCTATAATAGAGAAGGCTGTTAACCCGAACAGGAAAGATTGGAGAGCACAACTTGATGATGCTTTATGGGCTTATCGAACGGCCTACAAAACTCCAATAGGTATGTCTCCTTATCGTTTGGTATTTGGTAAACCGTGTCATCTTCCAGTTGAGTGGGAACACAAGGCTTATTGGGCTGTTAAGCAATGTAACATGAGGATGGCTGAATCTGGTGAGTTGAGAAAGTTGCAGCTGCAAGAGTTTGAAGAAATTAATGATGCATATGAAAGCTCTAGAATTTATAAGGAAAAAACAAAAGCATTTCTTGATCAAAAGATTTCTAGGAAAATTTTTGCTATTGGTCAGAAAGTTTTACTTTATCATTCTAGATTGAAACTTTTTCCTGGTAAATTGCGTTCTAGATGGATAAGACCTTTTGTTGTCACTAATGTTTTTCCTCATGGTGCAGTTGAAATACACAGTTTAGAGACCATAAAAATTTTTAAAGTTAATGGACATCGTTTAAAGCCATTTTATGAAGGTTTTCAGGCATATAATGTTTAAGAAATTAGTCTGCAGTGCCCAGTTTATGAAGATTGAAAAGAGATGATGTCCGACCAATGACATGCTACTTATAACAAGGGAAGTTTGTTCCATTCTTTATTGTTTACGTGTGACAGGATAATGGTGCTGGCACCGACCCGGATCATAAGCAGCACCTGACCCGACACCATATTTAACCCGACATCGTGCGGAATTCCAACAGGCAGAACTCCAACGAGCAGAACACCAACGGGTGGAAACATTATGGCCATTCATTACATTGAAGGAAGAGAATTAAAGCTGAGCGCCTCATTCATAATTCTTCATGCTATTGCCGTTAGCCTCAGCTCCCCAATTATGACTCTTCATGTTGTTACCGTTAGGACTTAGCATAAATAGAGCTTCCCTCAACTAGCAATGGGGAGGACACACTGTACTTTCCATACTGAAACTAAGGCAATACAACTATTGTCACTCTCACATTATGTTATTCTAATATTATTATTACCGGTAACATTATTTACCGTCATTGGTGCTTTCATTGAGAGCCTGAGTCCAATACTCAAGCAGGCTACGACACACACAACTCATTCCTTTTTCAACAGCAAGCTTGAAAGAATGGTGTCCCGCAGCTCCCACGGTTCCCGCAACGTGAACAATGGCAATGCCTCAGGTGACCTCCGGGACCAACTCACCAACAATCGCGAAGGGGACCTCCGGGAACAGCTCAGCAACGGGAGGCCCAGGGACCTTCGAGACCAACTCAACAATGGAGAAAACCTCCGAGACGAACTCAACAATAGCGGGGAACTCCGAGACCAGCTCCACAATGGAGGGGCGAACCAAGTCGTGAACCTCCAGGCGAACATCCAGCAAGCGGTGGCAGCGGCACTAAACCAAGTGGCGGTGGGACTACAAGGCCAAGTGCCCCCACCGCGACCTCAGGAAATAGAAGTAGAATCTCCACGAAGGGTGGATGCCCAGGACGCAACTCGTGCCACGAGGGTCGCAGGGTGACGCACTAGGACCGGGGGTCCGGGAGAGGGCACCCAGAGAAGCAGACCGGCCGGACGGCAACCTAGGCCCTCCCACTCTGCCTTAGAACGGTTGGGACACGGGGCGCCCGCTCGGCAGGGGCCGGAGTCGTGTGCCGAGGGGTCCTCCGCTAGAGGCCCTCGCCGACATGAGGAAAGAGAAGCGGAGAGATCACCCATAGAAAGGATGGGCAAGTCTCGTGGGCCAGCCCCGTGCCGCCACGGTGATGAGTCGGAAGAGCGACGCTTCGATGAACCGGCCCCGCGTCGGCACTCGGCGGAGCGACGCGTCGATGAGCCGGTTCCGCGTCGGCACTCAGCGGGCGAACGATGCGTTGGTGAGCGGGTTCCACATCGACACTTGGATGGACGAAACGTCGAGGAACCAGCTCCGTGTCGACACTAAGATGGACGACACGAACTAGCCCCACACATGGAGGAGCGGCAGCCGGCCCCGCGCCGGCACCCTGACGAATCAACCCTGGTCGAAAGGCTGCAGAGAAGGATCGAGGAGTTAGCAAGAAGGGTGGAGGCACGGGAGCAGTCGTCGGAACCCGAGGTACGATGGCAGCACCGTTCTCCCCAAGCATCATGGACGTACCTCTGCCGAGGGACTTCAGGTTACCCACCACCAATGCATACACAGGAGCCACTGACCCACGTGTCCACATGACTAGGTACAAGGCTGCTATGGTGATGATTGGGGCAGGGGACGCCATCATGTGCCGAGCGTTCTTGTCCACCCTGGATGGAACGGCCCAAGATTGGTTCAACACCATCCCGGACGGGTCGATCCAAAAATTTGGAGAGTTGTCCAAAAGCTTCTTGACATACTTCTCCGGTAGCATACAGCGTAAGAAACCGTTCTCTCACCTCTGTGTAGTAAAGCAAGATAGAGGTGAGAGCCTCAAAGACATCCTGATCAAGTGGAAAAAGGAAGTCAATAATGTCTACGACTTCGACTCTAAGGCGGCGATCCCGATATTCATCCACGCCTTGAGATCGGGGTATTTTCACAAGCAGCTGAACGCCCACCACCCCCATTCTTACGAAGATTTGATGAGGACGGCTAGCCGCTATGCCGAAGCAGAGGACGTCGACAGGAAAAAGAAAGATGAGGAGGACGGCAAGAAAAACGGGAAACCTAGGAAAGCTGGTCCGTCCAGCCAGGCACCACGTTCGAACCACCCGACCGCAGGGAAGGGCCGGGACCATGAACGGCCTTGCCTGGTTTCCCTGCGTAACCAAAGTCTTCTTACCCATTCCGTCAGCGTCATCCTAAAACAGGCTGAGGAGATGGGAATAGTCGAGTTCCCACCAGAGTGCATGAAGGTTTCCCCAAAATGAGACCAAGCAAAGTACTGCAGGTTCCATAGGCAACCCGGACACGACACGGATGAATGTAACGTACTGAAGAGACAAATAGAAGAACTCATCCAGCAGGGCTACTTCTGGCATTTCGTCAAGCGATCCAAGCACCAACAGCCGCAACGCGATCCATCAAAAAATCCACTAAAAAATGTCTGGAGGAAGGAGGATGGCGCCGAGCCGTCTACCTCGAACGCCAAGAAAAGAGAACATGACCAGATATCTGAGCAGGATGATAGCGAGAAGGAAACCGAGGTGGCGCCCAGACGACAAAAGAAACACACCATACACTTTATCTATGGTGGACCTGCGGGGGGCGACACACCCACATAGACGAAAAAGTGGAGCAGACAGCTGTACGTGGGAGAAGTAGTAAGCCTTCCCAAAGGAAAGAAGCAGAGGCGGGGAGTATGAAGCCAACGAAGGAAGCATGCAAAAATACAGAGACGCGGTGTTGAGAACCCTGCGCGAGTTTGAGGGATACAAGATACACCAGGTACCGAGAGAGCAGAACGCCGACGCCGACATGCTCTCAAAGCTAAGTACCAGAGTCCCCAGCCACATTAGGACGATCGCTCGACTGGAAGACCTCGAGACTTCAAGTATCGACGTTTCGTGGGTCTTCCCTGTGCAGACTAGGGAGCCATGTTGGATTGATCATATCAAATGATACAAGGCAGATGGCACCCTACCACAAGACAAGGCAGACGCAAAGGTAACGAAGTTACGGGCACCCAGCTACGTTGTCTCGGACGATAAACTGTACAAACGTTCCTACAACGGCACGTTACTGAGGTGTCTATATCCAGATAAAGCGAAGTAGGTGATAAAAGAAGTCCACGAGGGGGTGTGCTCCGCGCACCAAGGGGCATACACAATCGCACGCCGCATCATGTTACAAGGGTATTTTTGGCCCAAAATGCTGAGGGACTGCGCCGAGTATACAAAGCGATGTCCCAAGTGCCAAGAATTCCAAGCACTGTCGGGTCGACCTGCGACGAACTACACCCCGGTAAGCACCGCGATTCCTTTTTCCGAGATGGGGAATTGACCTGGTAGGGGCCCTTCCCACGGGGACGGGAAGCAGGAAGTACATCATTGTGGCCATCGACTATTTCACGAAATGGGTGGAGGCCGAGCCCCTGGCGAGCATCACCGCAGCAAGGTGCAAAAGGTTTGTCGAGAAAAACATCCTGTATCGTTTCGGTATCCCTCTCCAGGTAATCACATAAAATGGCCGCCAGTTCGAGGCACGAGAATTTTCAGAATTCTTAGCAGGATGGGGCGTTAAGCATAGCCGGGTGGCGGTATCATATCCTTAGGCAAATGGGCAAGTGGAGAATGCGAATAGAACCATCCTTGACGGCCTCAAGAAAAAGCTAGAAGTGGCTGGCGGAGCCTGGGTGGAGGAACTCGACGGCATCCTCTGGGCCTATCGCACGACACCAAGAAGGGCCACCTGGGAAACCCCGTTCGCACTCGCCTATGGATTCGAGCTCGGGCACCGGTGGAAGTAATCATACCTAGTAGAAGGGTGGAGGAGTTCGAGTCAGAACAAAATGAACTCCACCAAAGGGTGGATCTGAACTTCTTGGATGAAAAAATAGAAGCGGCATTCTGCAAGATGGAGAACTACGGTCGTCAGCTAAAGTCCTACCACGACGCAAAAGTCCGACCCCGGTACTTCCAGGTCGGCGACCTTGTGTTGCGAAGAAGGGAAGCCAGCCAACCCCTTGAAGGGGGAAAATTCGCAAAGAAGTGGGAGGGGCTTTACGCTGTGGAGGAAGTCATTCGCCCAGGAACATACAAGTTAAAAACTACAGGGGTAAGAATGATCGATCGGGTATGGAACTCGGAACATTTGATCAAGTACTTTCCTTAAAAATCCTGTAGTAGCAATCATTGGAAATAGTACTTGGCAATCGCGGTCCGTGCGCTCTACACGCTAAAATTCTTGGAAATAATATCTTACTTTCATGGTCCGTCCATGTGGTTTACTAAAATGAATTCGTTATCATCTTTTACGAAATTTTCTGAAATAATATCTCGTTCTCATGGTCCGCCCGTGTTGTAAAAAAAAAAAAAAAAAAAAAAAAAAAAAAAAGAAAAAAAAAAAAAAAAAATATATATATATATATATATATATATATATATATATATATATATATATATATATATATATATATATATATATATAGAAGCTTGGATGGCCGAGGCGCACGCCTCGGCCAAGGGCAGGCCGAGGCACGCGCCTCGGCCACGGTTTGGCCGAGGCCCGCCTCGGCCACGGGTTGGCCTAGACAAAACTCGGGTGGCCGAGGCATGCGCTTCGGCCACAGCTTCGGCCGAGGCATGCCTCGGTCGAAGAGCCGAAATCCGCCTCGCCCGAAAAAAAAAAAAAAAAAAAGGCTCGGGCAGCGCCTCAGCCACAGGCCAAGGCGCACGTCTCGGCCTTCTGGTCGAGGCAACGCCTCGGCTTCCTGGTCTAGGCGACGCCTCGGCCACAAGCCGAGACGTGGCGTGGCGCCTCGACCCAAAAAAAAAAAAAGGCTCGGGCAGCGCCTCAGCCACAGGCCGAGGCGCACGTTTAGGCCTTCTGGTCGAGGCGCCGCCTTGATCCAAAAAAAAAAAAAAAAAAACCTCCACGCGTCTCGGCCATTGGCAAAGGCAGAGCACCTCGGCCTAGGGCCTGAGGCGCACGCCTCGGCCACCGACTGAGGCAGCACCTCGGCCTCTTGCCGGAGCGGCGCCACAGCTTGTCCGTAAAAATATATATATATATATATATATATATATATATATATATATATATATATATAAGGCCAGAGCTCGCCTCGGCCACGATCGGTCGAGGCGACGCTTCGACCACGATCGGCCGAGGCGCACGCCTCGGCCACGATTGGCCGAGGCGCACGCCTCGGCCACGGTCGGTCGAGGCGACGCCTCAACCGTGATCGGCCAAGGCGACGCCTCGGCCACGGTCGACCGAGGCACACGCCTCGGCCACGAGCGGTCAAGGCGGCGCCTCGGCCACAAACGATTGGCCGGGGTGCACGCCTCGGCCACGATCGGTCGAGGTGGCCGTGATCGGCCGGAGGCACGCACCTCGGCCAGCCTAGGCCGCAGCCCGTCTCGGCCAGCATGCCAGCCTAAGCCGCAGCCCGTATCGGCCAACATAAAAAAAAATAAAATAAATAAAATAAATTCATGTGTGATTTGGGAAATAAAATCACATACTCGGGATCAACTGGGATTCTATTTAACATTTGGGACAATGTTTTGAATAAGTGTGGGGAGGGGATTTAACTATTATTCAATATTTAATTCTTCCCTTCAAAAAATTTTCCTAATGAATTTAAAAAAAAAAAAATATAGTATTTTTACTAGAATTCATAACATAATTGAATAATTGGTCTTGCATATTATGATTATTTAGTTTAGTATTTTGTTTGATATGGAGGTGGCTAAACTAAGCAAGCATGAACCTGTGAGATTTTGAGCCTTTGACTGACACTTCAGTCCAATTATTTTGTTCTTGTGTGATATCTTCCATAGATTTGTATCTCTAGAACTTGCCTTGATTCTCTTTAAAGCTAATTTGATGCATGCATGATTTTTAATATGATTAAGGCCATCATTGATTTTTAGCCTCACTAGCCAAATAACATATTCATACCGTGATTGATTTATCCTTTGTTAGCCATTTTGAGCCTTTATAACTGTATCTTTGTTGTTATGAAACCACATTATAAGCCTCATACCTGAAATTGATTTCCTGAACCTTGCCTAAAATATTAGGGGAGCTTTGATTGAGTAATTGCATAAAGATTTGAGTGTGGGGAAAAATGTTGACAAAGTATCTATGAGTAAGAATAATGAATTTGGTCATTAGACTTCTATGAGCCTTTGGTTGGTATTTTTCAAAAGAAAAGATAGTAGATAATGGGAAATGAGTTGATGTAATTATTTCAATTCGAGATTGTTCCTAAACTAAGAAGGTGAAATATTCGATGGAAGTTGTCGTTACTCTAAAAAAACAAAAAAAAAATGCAAAATACGAAAAGGAGAGAAGAAGAAAAAAATGAAAAGAAAAAAGGAAAAAAAAAGGATATGAAAGACAAAATGAAAAAGAATTATTATTATTATTATATTACTATTATTATTAATTTTTCATGTTAAATAAAGTATGAAATATTTATGGTCTTTGGGGGGTGTGATAGTTTATTTGGTTGGAGTTGAAGTATCAAAACAACAAGAGAGATTTGGTTGGTTCATTTGGTCTTTATTTTGAGTTATGTTCATTCAATCTATGCTCCTCTAGTTTTGAAGGCTTTTTGAACTACTTTCCAAAATAATTCCTACCTTTTGCCCTAGCCCCATTACAACCATGAAAACACTACTAGAAATTATGGAATTTCCGACCACCTGAAAATGATCTTAAATTAAGTTGATACTAAAAAGTCCAAAAAGTGGTCGGAAATAGCAACAAAGGTTTTTTCGGATACCAAAAGTGGTCGGAACAAAGTTTTCGACTTGATTTAAGATCACTTTCAGGTGGTCGGAAATTCCATAATTTCCAGTAGTGAAAAGTCCATATGATTTGATCATGCATGTTATCTTGTAGTAGAGAATGAGAAGATATGCAAGCCTATGGTAGAGCATTTCTAAAAGGAATTTATTTGAGTGAAATATACACACCTTTCAAACACTTGTGCGTTATGAGTGATATTCCCGTGAGAGCTTGGTTATTTAGTTAACGCTATTTTCAAATAAATTGCTAGCTAATTATTTATAATGTGTTTGAGACCAATGTTCGTGAAATGTTATGAGTTTCTATATATTTAAGTTTTTCTTAAATAATGTTTTTGCTTGAGGACAAGCAAATGATTAGTGTGGGGAATTTTGATAAGCACTATTTTTATATTTAATTTAGATTGGTTTTTATAATAAATTAGTTCTATTTATTTAGTGTTATATTTATTTGAACTTTATTTTATATTTTGTACTAATATAATAATTATATGAATAATTAGACTTAATGGGCAAATTAATAGAAATTGGGTTTAGTTTATGATTTGGGCTAATTATTTTCCTTTTCATTGTTTTAATTAGTAGCTCAATTAGATTGTTTTAATTGTGTTACGTGTTCAGCAGCCCAAAGTCTCATTTAATTTATTTTATCCTTTCTCTTGTTCCTTTTTAGCTAATACGTGCGTAGACTTTGGAGCAGCAGAATTTGAGAACGATTCGAACGGCATCGGTTTCTGCGACAGCTCCGTTGGCGAACCGCGAGCTGCTCCCACGAATTGCTTCGATAAAGATTCCGTCCACGAACTGATTGAAGCAGAGACTATTTTGTGTCTTCTTGTTAAATTTCTCTGGTTAGAAAAATAAGTATTATTTACTTTCTAGATTTTGTGTGGTTAAAGAAATTAAATTATTTTGTGGATGTTAGGGAAATTAGGGTTATTTTGAGTTGATTAGGGATCCTGAACTAGTATAAATAGGGCTGAATTTTGCAGTATAGGATGGTCAGTTTTTCAAAATCACTTTATTTTACTGTAAACACTCTCTGCAATGTACTGTTGAGTATTGATTTTCCAACTCAAGGATTATTGAAGTTTGATTCTACAAGACCAGTGAGATTTATTTAGCTTAATTTTATTCTTTACACTTTAATATTTATATATCTCCTGTTATATGAGTTTAGTTATTGCTTGATTAATTGTTGCAAAGGGCCTATTGTTCAATTGTCAAGTCGTTAAGTTGCTAATTAGAACCTTGAATCCGCAATTGTTTAAGTGTTCTAAAATCGGTAGCAAATAGCACAATTTGATTATATATGGATTTTCAATTTTGTGTTATGAAGATATATAGTCTAGTTTAAATAAACCATGCTTTTGAGTTTGTTGGCTAGAATTGGTAATCTTTCTAATTCTTTTAATGTTATTAGTAAATTAAATACTAAGAGCCTGTTTAGGATTGTTTATTAACTAGGGAAGTAATCGATCGAAGAGCTTGTTTTGATTATCGATAAAGTAAGGAAAGATAGGTTATTAGAGCTTGTTAATAACCATAACCAATTTGGTAAAGAGTAGAGTAATTTATTTTTGGAAATCAATGATCAGTCTTGTTAGAATTAAATTGATATTATGCCTTGAGTTGGATACTAGTTGCTATTGATTATTATTATTATTTGACATTTCATATTGTTTGCCTTTTTATGGTTGCTATTTAATTTCCAATTCTCATCTCTTTCTTTATTAAATCTTTGATTAAAAATAAGTCTGACCAATCTCTGTGGGTACGACCTTACTCATCACTATTGCAAATTATAGAGTAAGTAATTTATCATTTGTTGGCATCGACACCCATCATCGACAACAATAATTTTTTTCATAAATTCCTCCCATATAAAAATTCATGGAAATTTCAAAAATCAACTAGGTTCTAGCCATTTCCCTAAAAATGTTAAGATCTAGTCGTTCCATATCCCCAGTATTATGATTATTTGGTTCAGCTATAAATTACTAGGGTTTCTCGTCTTCTGGACATACCTCCTTAAGAGATTTCAAGAATGATGAAATTTTCTACAAGATATAGCATTCTATAGATTATTATTATCTATTACTCCTATAGGTCTCTCATGCTTCTGGCATTAAAGAGCATCAGTAGATACATACGGTCCAAGTTATGGAAGGTATATGAGACGTAGTCACTCTTTTTATTATCAGGATATATAATGGTAGATTATTTGCTAAATGACACAAATTAACTATCTTCTAAACATCCAGTTCAGTCTACCTAGTACATGGATT